TTCAAAAAGTATCGAGACCTAAAAAAAAAAAAAAAAAAATACTTTTACACAATAGATAATAATGTAAAATACTAATTTCAAGTAGGATTGTATACAAATCATTAGATTTTTGATAATTAATGTAGTTTATGTATATGCTCTTATTACATCACTATTGCACTTGCTGATATGATCGATCAAAAAGTTAATTCAATATTTCTTAAAAATATTATTAATTGCATTGTTGCCTAAAATTTATGAAAATCTTAACAGTTTAGGTATCAAGCAAATTTTTTTAACAGTTTTTGTCCTCTTGCAATAGGTTGAAGTCACGGAACGTGCATCACCCGCAAAACTTTTTCAACAAAAAAATGGACACTATATTTAATCCACTATTTCATTTTTGTAAAATTTAACTTTTGATTTGAAATAAATAAGCTCAATAACATTAGTATAGGTAATAAACTTGATCTTTTTTATGTTATGCACAATGATATAATAATTATTTGATAGATTTTTGCCTTTAACCTTTATTTTGGCTACCATCTAGCACACATTATGGGACTTTGACGAATTAAAAAAGGTTAAAAAATTTTCTCAAAATTAAATAAAACAGAAAAAAATTATGGCATGCCTTTAGAATTATCCATTTTAAAATTTAAAATTTAATAGTAAGAATGAAAACTGTTCCCAAAAAATTTTAAATATTTTTATATAAATTAACGTACAAAAATCAACCGAAAACCACTTTTTTACTGTACATTTTTTTCAGCATAAAAAAAATGATTTTTCAAGTAGGGAAAAAAATGTAAATTTCATGACCATTGCTGAAGGTCATACGATGTGTTAAAAAATCAGAAAAAATTAGGGAATTATTTTTTAATGAGTGCTGTCGATTGCGCTAAAAAAAAGTGAGACTTCTTTTTCGCGCGTTCGCATTAACGTAAAATTACCCACAAATATTTCAAAAGAATTTTGCAACGGTAAAAGACTTAAAATAATTAAATTGNTATAAATTATTAGGTTAATATGTTAATAAATTGGGGTTCTGTTAAAAAGCTATTATTTTCTCATGTTAAATTTCATCTAAAACTAAGAAACAGTTACTTATTTTTATTAAAAATGAGACAGGACATTTAAGGGAACAGAAAATTTAGTCTGGTCTAAGGTTTTTTATTATATAAAATAAGAAATTTTGTTGTTGTGTACTAGTCAATAATAGCTAAAAATGTCAGTTTTACATTACAGGTAAGAAAATTGGTCATGTAAGCACGAAATGAATGTCAACATTAATACATATAGTAGAAAGTAAATCTATTTTTACGAGGAGCATTCTGGGTAAAGCTAAATGACAAATGTTCTTGTTTTTTTTAGAGAAACAAAAACGTTTTATTTTATGAAAAGGTGTAAAAGAGAAGATATGGAGGGCCAAAAAAATGTTAAGATCATTGAGAAGTGTGGAAGAATGGTAAAATGCACAGTGGACCTAAATGGACGTTTTGGATTCAAATTGTCCAGAGACTATACAAATTTGATTGGACCCTTTTTTTCCAAATTTGCAAGAATTAAAATGTTTTGATGCTTTAAAATCTTAAAACTCTTATGCTCACTAAAAAATCTTGTTTTTCATAGAAAAGTATCTACACTCTTAAAGGTTAGAGTTCTATTTTATCTGAACCTCACCATGTATGTTTTTCAACCAACAGATTTCTTACACGGACTATATGCTTTCTAAAGCTAAAAAACTTATTTTTTACTGCAAAGTTGAGAAAAATGTAGAGGAAATTACTTTCAATATACAACTTTTCTTTAAATGACTTAAAGGAGTTATAATTATTGATAATAAAGATGATAAAGATGATGAATATCCCTAACAAAGTTCTGGAAATTGTGAAAAAAGCAGTATAAGATTTCAGTAATAATGATCTAATATTCAGCAGTAAGCTATATATTTTAGTAGTTAGTTTTACACAAATGCTTGCAGTAGTTAGTAGGTACGCGTATGGAAATTTTAAAACTAATTAATTAATAAAATACTTTTTACTAAAAGAAAAAAAAAAAAATAAGGCTACGTTTAAATTGTCTGTCATCTCATTTCTTATTTGTCTTTTCTTGAGCCTCAAATGATTTTGTTAAATGTTAGCTTAAATACATATTTTAAATAATAAAAGTAAGCAACAATAATTTTTCTTTTATTAAAATAGTTACTAAGTTAATTGAATAAACCAGTGAGAAGATTTAAATAATTATGTTGTAAATCTAGAAAACATCTTTGAATGACCTTCTATTTATTCTATGTTCTTTATAATCATTGAAAAATCAAGTATGCAAATCTAAAGTGAATAACAAAAGCACGATTGTTAAATGCACTTATTAAAAATTAATACACGCGTAACTTCAGTACATTTTGGAAATCTTCGTTATATCAAAAACATGTTTATGCAAACCAAATTCTTCAAAGTCCTTAAAAGTAGGAAATCATTTGGCAACTATAATGCAAGTGTTGAATGACTCTGAAACTTGTACATAAATTTGAATTTCTTTTCATCAGGATCCTGCTGCCATTAGGTAAGACTTTTCACAATTCTTGTTAGTTGTTAAAGTTAAAGAAAAAAAAAAAAACGACGGTACTTAAACGTAGCAAATGAGCTTACTCTTTAAAATTTAACAAGGAAAACAAAAATATCAATGAGCCAATTGGTATTATACATACAAATGGTTAGAATATTTATATTTAGGCTATTTTACTTGTGAATAGAATTGTAAAGGTCATACCCAAAGGTATGATGATAAACAACTCTAATGAAAATTTTTGTGCAAATACATATTAACACTTATTTTTCTTAATTTTAATAAGAAAAAATTCCAAGTTAAGAAAAGTTCAAAAAATTTTTAAAATAAGAAAAGTAAAAATTACCTTAAAGGTTCAGGAAATCCTTGATAAGGTTCTCCAATGGCACCTTGGAAAAATTCAACTACCGATCTAGGGAACGAAAGTTCCTCAGCTTTGTCAATTATATCTTTTGACTTTAATTTATTTTGAACCATGAATTGCGCTAGGTCACCAACAACCTTAGAGCTAGGTGTAACTTTAATAATATCACCCAATAAAAGGTTTGCTTCTCTATAAGCCTTTTTAACATCTTCAAAAAATTCTCCAAGTCCAAGAGAGTAAGCTTGAAATTGAAGATTCGTATACTGACCCCCAGGTATTTCATTTAAATATACGTCTGCATTTCCAGACTTCATAGTGGTTGTACATTCGAATGGTGCGTACAAAGTTCGAGTTTGTTCCCAGTAGGCTGAGTATTCTGAAATATCGTTTAAATCGAAACCAGTATCTGCTTTTGTACCTAAAAAAAAAAAAAAAAAATACTTTTACACAATAGATAATAATGTAAAATACTAATTTCAAGTAGGATTGTATACAAATCATTAGATTTTTGATAATTAATGTAGTTTATGTATATGCTCTTATTACATCACTATTGCACTTGCTGATATGATCGATCAAAAAGTTAATTCAATATTTCTTAAAAATATTATTAATTGCATTGTTGCCTAAAATTTATGAAAATCTTAACAGTTTAGGTATCAAGCAATATAGACAATATTTTTTTTAAGTGTTTCATACAATGTTTAAGAAAATATGTTGAACGAACTATTATAAAAATAGCCAGAACATTATTCATAGAATTCTTAGCTCTTTGATTGTTGATGGAAATATGTAGGTAGATTATAATTTTTAGTAATGAATTTATAGTACTAACTTGTTTGGAAAATTGCAGTTTCATGACCGTTCTACTCGTAAATCCTGTATGAAACTTAGCACATAATAATAAATTAGTAGCAAAATGGATATGAGAAAAATATCTTGAAAAACATTTGTATAAGAAACCGTGCATAATAAAAAAAATTGATCAATAAAAAACTACACAGTTTCCATAACAAATATTGTATAACATTGACACGCATTTCTAATGCTGTGTATGTATGTATGTATGTATGTGTAAAGAAATGTGTATGAACGATGTCATTGACTAACGTACGAGTTCGTTTTACTTATCTATGTATAGGGGAGAGCGGGGCACTACCGGCTCCCTAAGCTAATTAAATCATTGTACCGAAATTTTTTTAACTTTAATGATCAAAAATATTCAATAATAAAGAAAAATACCTAAAAAATATAATTTAAGCCCTCCATGATTATATCACAATTAAATGTGCATGTCATTAATAAAAATAGAAACCGTTTGAGAACAGGGCAGGGGCCGTCATAGAGAGGTATGGTCCGTCATGGGGTGGGGCACGTTCGGCCTGAAGATTACCTGTAAAATGATTTCATGCATCTTCTATTTATATGAATTAGAAATTAATTTATATGTTTATTGAAACATATTTTACAAAATGAAATAAAATTAAAAATATGGAATAAGGAAAAGAATACACAGTATAGAATTTATTTTCAAAACTTTNGCAAAATGCCTGTTTATTAATATCCTATAAATTACTGATTTTTGATGCTAAACTACTATAAAACACATCTTAATTACCATTAACTAATAAAAAATCGATAAAGAAACTATAAAAAAAAGTTGTACGTTAATTTTGTACAACATGGAAATTCCACAAAATCTTCTAGCAGATCTGTATAGTCGTTGGTTCTGAAGTTAAACTGTTGCTGTCAAACCCAAAATTGTTTGGTTCAACGCACTTTCTTCAGTTTTTTTGAAGTTATACTTCTATATGCGTGTTATGCGTAGGTATAAATCACCGATTTCAGATTTTGACCTTGAGAAAAAATGTGACGATAGTGGATTCACTTTTATTGTAAATAATTATAAATATATTCATACATTACTTGTCTGTCCCTTTCAAGTACTATTGTATGATGCTGCTACTCTATCCTAAAGTGTCGTTCTGGGAATACCGAACTCTGATGCAGTATTTTGAATTGATTTTCCATCTTGTACTTTTTCCCAGGCTAGTATCATTTTTTTATTTGTCCAAACACACTTTTTCAACTTTTTTTGCAATGCCTAACCATTTTATGAACACTTTTTGTACGAGCTGTCAAATAATTAAAAAAATTGAGGTTAAACGACAACCAAGCAGCAGATGAAACTTTTTCAGTTAAAACGTCTGCGCAACTGTTGCCACACATCCAGCTCAGGCCGGCTTGTGCCCCACCATGGGAGACGGACTGTGCCTCAACCGAGACTTTGTTTTTAATAATTTATTTTATTTTTAATATTAGGTCTAAAAAAAAAAAAGTATCTGGCTATAGTTGAAAATTCAAATTTTCGAATATGCTAATTTTAATTTGTGTTACCTAAATATTTCAGTGTTAAATCAGAGACTGAAATTTTCAAAAAACTTAATGAAATACCTATTGAAAATTAAATCAGTCTACTGTAAAAAAAAATCACTTTTCTCTCTTACAACTATTGGAGAGGAATTAAATAAAAGCATTAAATAACCGATTCCAAATGGATTTTGTTGGCAATATGCATCAGTATAAGAAAAAATTAGGGTGTCAGAGTTACCCGACGGACGGCGCATACCTCGCTCTCCCCTACATGCTCATTACAGCTGCTGCTTTCATGTGCTGCTAAGTTGCCCACTGCTTAAGGTGGGCGCTCTTTTACTCAGTTCACTCCGTTTGGTCTTGTAACCAGCACGTACTACTGTAAAAAGCACCTGTGAAGTATTCACGCATTCCATACTTTGTATTAACTAAGTGCAAACAAGAAAAAGATTCGTAACTAGTGAGAATTAAGGATATTCAGTACATCATAGGGAGTTTTGACGTTACTGACTACCGTGCTTTGATTAATTTTTATAAATCACTAATTTATGCTTCTTTCAATGGAAAACAATGAAAACATAAACAAAGCTAATGCTTTTAGGGATAAATCAAGCCCAAACTTATTGCCATTATCTGCAAACTATCAAAGAAAACTTGCATCTCAGGACTATAGAAATGAGCTTTAGTGTTTCCAATCAGTTTGAAAAAAATTGAGTGTAATATACAGAGTTTCTGCTTTACTGGTGACTCCATTTCAATAAGTTTTCATTATTTATTTATCCTACAGATATTTTCACGTAAAATAATGAATTAACGCACAAAGCTGGTACTTTGAATAATTAATGAAGCTTAAATGTATTTTTTATAAATGTGACTCGGGAGAGAAAAGTTGTATCTCGTGGTTGTTACTTGGAGTACATGCCAACAAAATCACGGAATACAACTTTTCTCCATTTATGTGCAACTAATTTCAATAAGTTGAGGCTTGATTTATTTCTTGAAGCACAAAATTTGTATGTCTTCTCACTGTTTTTTACTAAAATAAGAATAAAACTAGTTATTAGGAAAAATGAATAAAATTAACGTTATCGGTGAGGTAGAAACTTCCGATGATATACTAAGTGCCCTCATAAATTTAGTTACTTGTTTTTAACTTTAGAGTACCGTGTAAGAGTGATATTCCTTAGCTTGCTTTTTTTCAGTAAATGTTATAGATTTATTTCTTTTGAAATAAACAATCTTTATTTTATCTATCTCCTGTATCTTGTTTCTTCATACAGTCTAACTCCATTTGATCTTAAACAAAGTGCTTCGAGCCAGATCTGACAGAAGTAAGGTATACAAGGACTTAGGTTCAATCGCACTTAGGTTCAATCGCAAAAAAAAAAATTAAAAAAAAAAA